GCATCACTCCCCAGACAGCAACAGACCCCGCTGAGCCTATAGACAGGGTCTTCTGTAGGCTTACAGGCTAACAGGCTTCTACACTGTCTAGGCTTCAACAGAGTGATGTCACTTCTCTAACATGATTGGTGTACTGAGCCCTGTTACACAAACATAACCAATAGTGATACATTTTGACTGAATTTGAAAGGAAAATTAAATATTCCTACAAATACAGAAGAATACAGCTCCTTAATGTAAAGATGTGCTTTTTCAATGCCCAATACCTGGTTCATCAATGAGGGCCAAGTGTGTGTAAATGTTTATCTGCAAAGCAAGAAACTTTATCTCTTACTTCCCTACTTTTTCTCTGCTGTTATATCCTTTATTCACTTTTTGTGGCCTTATCATTTACAGTACTGTTGGTCACACGAATTGGGTTGCTCAGCTCTGAGACATGCCAGTCTCAAAGGTTGTGGCGCCACCTGGTCTCCACATAGTTGGAACTGTCTTGTCAGATAGCCCTTAAATGGTGAACACTTAGCTAATTAGACATATTAGCTGTGCTCAAACAAATATTCTCCCTAGTAAATCTGATTACACAATGCCAGAGTAGCTGAAGGCCCCTAATCAATACAGACAGTATACAGATACACAGGATACAGAGACACACATTAGTGTTGTATTGTAGCTGGAACTACATTTCTACTGCTGGTTCAGCTTCACTGTCCGTGAGGGTCACATTGCTTTCAGAATCAAAGACACCGACAAAGTTAAAACACTGGACATCTTCTGAGACATCAGTAATGCAGTAAACCAGAAGACACAAAGGAAAACTAAGGGGAAGTGCATTCAGAACCTTCTCTTAGAGAAACACACAGGGGGCTGTAATGCAAATTGTCTTATGCTGATATCGGTCTTAAACAGCAGACGAGGATGGGAAATCTAAAGCACCCTGATGCGTCTCATGGACACATTGCCGGATTCTGAGGAAATGAACTAAACGCCATTCTTACATCTTTATTCACAATGCAGAAGAAACACTTCTGAACGGTGGTCAGTGGTGAAGGCTAATGGGGTATTAAGAGGACAGATGGATCTGTAACTTGACATTTCACATCATGATAAGAGCTGGGAAACATTGGAGAGAAAAGGAAGAGAGTTATACCGTGCCTCAGATGTGCATTGAGAGGGGATCCTAATGTTGAAAAACTGACAGAGAAGTTTCTCTCACGCTGAAAGAATTTCTGTAACTGGAATTGGGAAAACTAAGGTAGATTGTTTGCTTATCTATAAAGAAAACTATATATACTGAGCTTAAAAAAATATCACTCCATGCATGTACTGCATCTTTTTAGAAGAATAAATTAGAGCAATACAAATTTGATCTTTATTACATGTTTCTGATGTCATTTTAATTAATCGATCATTCATGGCTGACTGTGATACAGAAGTGACTTTGCTGTATAATCACCTCATTAGTGAGAAAGGTGATTGAGCACAGGTGTTGGAGTGATTTAACTTATTGAATTTCAAGCCTGGTGAAAATCAGGACAAAAACACAGAGAGGAACAAATATTCTCTGTTTATAAAGAGAATAGTGCCTTTGTGTCATTGGTATGTTGAAAGATGGACTATGTCAGTGCACTATCACTTGGTATCTGAGGTGTTCACAGCCAGCCAGACCCCAGCTATCAATGACCACAATCCAGGAGACAACAACACTTCTCCAGCATCAATCGGGGAGTCCGAGTGTTTTGAGACTGATGTCTCAACATCTCAACAACTCTCTGCCATTCTAGTGAAAGAGGGTCAATAATAATTATACAAAAGTACAATAAAAAGTTAAAGAAAAATAAACAACAGCGTACATGTTTATACAGACAGGCAAACAGGCATAGACCTGGGTAAAGAGGAAAGGAAGTCACGGACACTGATAGTCCAAGATTTGGGTACAGTGAGCCAGGGACCAGCCTCAGCTGAGCGGAGCCTACAGGAGGGAGTCTGAACGTGGAGGAGCTCAGAGATGTATGATGGAGCCAGATTGTTTAGAGCCTTGAAAGTCAGTAACAAAGATCTTATATTGAATATGTGACTTTGTAGGCAACCAGTGTAGAGACTTGAGTGTAGCAGTGATGTGCTGCCGGGGTCTGGTGTGAGTAACTGGTCCAGCTGCAGAGCTGTGGACAAACTGCAGCTCGTTGAGAAAAGTGTCAGGGAGATCAAGAGTTGGAGAATTCAAGCCATTGTAAGTCAATTAATTACAAGGTTGTATTATGAAGTGAAAACACACTTCAAACTAAATCTCCAAGACCAATTAACAGGCACATGGTTTTCCATGTTTTTCCAGGCTCTACAAGAGGAATTACAGAAAATCCTACAGCACAGGGATGGATGGTGCAAAGCCTGTGTCTCTGATGTGCAGCTTGTACTGCTCCTGCTTCCAGCTGTGGCCACACATTCTGCTAGCCTGTGACCTTCACACAGACCCCTGCCGATCAACCCTGGCCATGATGAATATTCATCAGCATAATGAATTCACCTACCTTATGTCTTGTTCAATAAAATAGCAGTTCATCTGCTACAAAACAGCCATATTCCTCATAATAATGTGATGCATTTGTTGCAGTCACAAGGTCAAGGGGTGAGTTTCTTTTTGATGCTCAATATATTATAGATCATCATCATTCTAATTCTAAATTCTGGACAAACGTCAAAGTCTATAAAGCCTGCTATCAAAAGGTAGAGAAAAAGTAACCCAATCACTTCAAACGTGTTTAGCTTTCAAGTTAAGTTCCAAAATGCCATTTTTTCAGGCCATGAACACTTCACTGGGTCATTTCAGTATCACTCAGACGTTTTCACTGACAAGTGACAATCTGACTTGTTTTTCCCCTCCTGACAGGCACTTGTCAAAGCAAATTGCTGCTTGAGAGGCCCCTGCCTACTCCTAATGAAGATCTCAGGCCCTGCACAGCTCAGGCCAAGAGGCACACGAGGCACACGAAGCTCCAGCCAGCAGATCAGAGGACCGTCTTCCTTTTTCATCTCTGAGCCAAATGCTGATCAGGGTGACACGGCTGTCTTCTCTGGCCTCTGCTGATTTTTCTGTATACCCAATTCTTCGCCTTATTAACCGATGTGATTTGCCGTGAATTATAAAAGCTCCCAGTTAATGCTAAAGTGAAGCCATTGACCTTTTTAAGTGCACTAAATGTCCCTTGGATGCCTGAGAAAGACGCCAATAGTGCATTCTTTCACCAGTTCCCATTGAGCCCCAGGCTTATAAATAGGCCTTGTCACCTTCAATCTGTTTCATACACACAATCCCCTTCCCAAGTAATTATTAGCATTACGAGACAGGTGATAAGGTCTTTTGTGCTGGGAAACAGAACGTGGAAGCAGGCTCGTATTGTCTAAATGCACCATGTCCCTCCCAGTCCTTCGGCGCTCACCAGTACAAACCCCCTCTTTCCTCACTCCCTGCCAAGTTACTTGCAGGGTAACTTTCCCAAACTTACTGCCTCAAAGGGGGAAAAAAAAAAAGCGACTCTAAGAAAAGCTCAAGCTGAGCGGGAGACAAAGGCGAGACCCGAAAGAAAGAAAATAACGGAGTGGAACCTTAAGGCTTACCTTTGACGTTGGAAATGTGGAATAGATTTTGTCTTTATGTTGGTAAAAATACGGTTCTAAAAGCTGTCATGCTATAAATGTCTTATCTAAATGTTTGCACTCGCCTGCTCCCTCGCCACAAGTATCGAACTGCCTCTCTCCCCTCCAGTCTCTACACAAGACCCAGTGGCCTATTCATCCTCCCACTCCAGCAATCAGCACCGTCCATTAGTCTACACTCCCTTGGAGCTCAGCTGCCAACACCAGTCCCCACTGTCTCCTCCCCTGACCTTCAGTGCTTTTAAAAACTCACACTGCTCACCTCCCAGTCCCTTTTAATCAATCCTAATCAATGTGCTATTAGCCTGCCTCTGTGCCTCTTTGTGTGTGGAAAATGAATCCCCTTATGTGAGCGAGTGATTTCAGAAAATCAGATGTCCGCGCTTTGAAGCTTTTTGTAGCCCATCTAAAAGCATTTGAAATCCTGTCTTACAATTGTACCGAGCAGCCTGACACAGCAGTTATAGGGCTGAATTGCCCAAAAATGCAGGAAAGGTGCCATATGGAGGCTCTGGCAAGCTTTTGAAGAAACGTGCAATTAGAGGTGAACAGAGAAATTCAATGAATCACATTAGCTCTTACATGCAACTAACATCCTCCTTCAGCACAATCACACAATTAGAAGATGTGAGCCCTGCGCACAGCCGCCTTCCTGATTTGCCAAGCTGTTTGACCTTCAGATATTCCAGCGAAGCCAAGGAGCCTGCAAAGTCGTCTTTGAAAAGAATTCCGCTGCGGAGATTATACTGACAGTTTCTTAAAGGAAATTCATTCTTCTGCACTTCGGGCAATCACACAAAAGAATTTAAATCTGTTGAACTGACAGAGCAATTTTACAGTCTTTCATTCCTTCCTCCGTGTTACATGCCGAAATGATCTTTGACCATTGTTTTTTATGGTTGGCATAACAGCTGAAAATCAGGACTTGACACCACTGTAAAGAGAATCAGTAACACCTGTATGTTTTTAAATATTACCAAGAAAACAGAGGTGTTCGTAGATATGAATGCCTGTGGGATTCTTCTGTGATTATTTTACCTCAGGATATTGACACGTTTCACAATGTTGCACCTTGAATTTGTGGTTTACTACACTTTACCATGGGAATATCATGGCAAATCTGTGTGATAAGCCAATGTAGACACAGGAAGATCATGTAAACTCCACATAAAAGATCCACCAGCCCAGGCTAGAACTCAGTTAGTGGTGCGAATTACCATAGCACAATGCCGTCCTAAAAGACAAGCAGATGATGATTGCTGCTTTTTTTCTTGACATTTTAACCCCCCTCCATTTATAAAAGGCTTTGCTAAGAGAAAATATTTGGTGTGTAAAGTGATAGACAGTACCTGTCATAGAAGTCATCGTGGTAGCAGTCGTAGTCCAGATCAAAGTCAGATCTGTGGGGAAAAGAACAGGATCGCTGTCAGCAGAGGAAGAGAAAGGGCTGGGCAGAGAGATGACAGGTGTCAGTGTGGGACCGAGAGGAAGGAATTCTTCCTTTTGCATTCAAACCCTGCCTGCCAAAACCATCGCTGATCACACGCGCATACTGACTTATCACTTATCTATTCACTTGGCTGTACACACACATCCAGCCAGATGAGGACGGGACAGATTCTTCAATCCCAAATGCCTCTGTAGAATGTTACCTTGCTGTAGCCCCTGGGTACATGCTAACAGCTACCGGTGGGGTGTTTATTAAAAAGCACTTGGGAATAATCTGGGCCACCAGGGCTCAAACCACATGTTTTTAGCATTACTGTGTCAGAGCTGGATGCAGTGTTTTGGAACTGCTGATCTGGCATGAATAAGGCCAACTGGTAGATAAGTAGAAGAGATTGCAGATTTAAAGCAGTTAACATATAGTTTCCTGTTATTTTATTGCTAATTTATTGTGCATGCCGATTAACACAGTGTGCATTGCTGCGCTGTGTTGTTCCTGCTCACAGACTGATAACTGCCGTGTAAGCAACCTAGTGGAAAGCTCTATCTTAGCTGAAAGACAGGGAGACATTGTAATTATGCACAGGCCTAATTACAAGTCTGCCAGGTTGTGAGTGAACCAAGTCTTAGAAGGCCGCTAAAAGAGCTTCTAATGTCCCTCATGTCTCTAACAGTGTGCCCGTGCTCTGAGGTGTGCCTGCAGTGTGCACCTTTCTGCCACAAATTAGCCACCACATGAGAAGAGGCTGTTCTCCATGGTGATGAAATTGCACACTTTCTGTCAGAGCGACGGGGTTCTGACGTCGAAGTGTGTTTTGAAGGGAGCATTTTTTTTCCCACTGAGCGCATTCTTCAGTTAAAATTGTGCAGTCATGTGGCTTTTTGGGATGGCTGTCAGGTGCAGTAAGGAGACAAGACTGAAGTACAAAGAAGTTAAGTGCTATCATTATTTAAGGCTTCAGGTGCAAGGAGGAGGAATAAATACATAGTAAGTTCCTGACACATAGTAAAGTCCCACAACAATAAAATGTACCATTGTCTCTGCTACATAGTGCCATGTGGTTTGGATTTTTAGAGATACAGTACAGTTAGAGATACAGTTTTAGAGATACAGTATAGCTTCTGGAGTGCATTCTACCACACTAAAACAAGGAATAACAACAACACTCCTGAAACCTCTTGCACTTACAGACTGCAGACTTGGGCCGTTTTCATTTCCTTTCCTCCCCCCCCAGAACTACCAAAACCAACCTGCAGAGGTCTTCTCAAAACACGAACATCTTGTCATTTTCGCAGCTGGACTAACTCTCAGAAAAATCAATGAGACCAGAAAACAGTCAGAAAACATGGCACAGATGGTAAAATGAGCCACACACACGTAAGACAATCTTCCAGGATGCTGGCCATTGGAAGAAATCGTTTCATTTGCAATTTCAAGCGGGCTGTAAAAGATCCTGACAAAGAGACCCCTCCTTGCGTAGCATCCAATTTGAGGTTTTCACAGCTCGGAGGGCTAAGCAATCCATCACTTTGCCTCTCACTGTGCAGACCTCACCACTTCTTTCCTCTCTGCTTGTTTCCCTCAAGTAGGAGTCAAGTGCGGCCGAGAGCCATGCCCTTTCCAGTGACTCCCCAGCAGGAAGAGAGCGGAGCCCTGCAGAATCCCCACCGGCAGCATTTCTTTCCTCAACCTGTAGCACCTCCCTGTACACAGTACTGAGCTCACAGGATCAGGGAGGGTTTAGTGTGATTGTCAACCTGCCACGTGGACGTTGCTGCAGTGCTGGGACACTGGTATGTATACAGTAGACAGTAGCAGGGGCAGTGGTTAGCAGTGCTGTGGCCCTAGTTTCAAGCCCATATGTAGGGTGCTGTCTGTTTGGAGTTTGTATGTTCTCCCCAGGTTTGCGTGCGTTTCCTCCAGGTTCTCGGATTTGCTCCCATAATCCAAAAACCTACTGGTATGTTAACTGGCTTACGGGAAAATTGTCCCTAGATGCAAGTGCATGCATGTCTGTGTACGTTTTTGTGTCTGTCTTCCCTGTGATGGACTAAAATGTTCAAGTTATGCTGAAGACTCTCAATAGGAATCACATCAGGACTTTGTTACAGACTCCATGTGGTGTTTCAGGTGGGTTTGCCACTCTACCATAAAGACCAGCTTTGTTGAGTGACTTGTTAAAAATGCACATCACCATGCTTAAAGGGATATTCACAGACTTTTAAGTTTTTAATGCCCTGTTCCTGATCCGTGACTTTCTACAGCTTTATCTCTAAGTTGTCTTGACCGCCCCTTCATGGTTGAATCTTTGCTTGAAATTCACTGAGGGACCTTTCAAAGACAGGTGTATTTATTCTGAAATCACATGACGCACCGATATTGCACACAGCCAGAGGCCATTTGACTGATGGTGAGACTTGTCAAAGTAATTTTGTTCACTCGAACTAATTTAGGTTTGCCATAGCACAGGGGGTGAATACACAGGCAATCAGCATATTTTAGTTTTTTGATTCTTTCCGTAGGTTTTGCAGACATTTAACTTCTTTCACCCATAAAGAAGTTCAGTTTGAACATTCAAGTTTTGATTTAAAATATTCACTTTAACAAAATGTGCATACATTATTTGCAGTTCAGCAAAATGGGGCATCATTGAAAGAAGGTGAATAGTTTAGATAGGTTTCTGTATTTGAATTTTACAAGAGAAGCATGAACCTTTAAACTCCTTTCCAGCTAAGAACAATGACAATTTATAAAGGACAGGGAGACATTCAACTAAGTAGCAGATGCAGGTCTCCACCCATTTATACTGCGCCTCCTGTAATGCAGCAACTGTCCACAGTTAAACAGATCCAGTTTACTAGTTTGCAGCAGTTTGAGGCTAATTTGTCTGTGCAGCTTGCCTGCTCCCAGGTACAGGATTAGAATCAGGCCAGTGGGCAGCCATGCAGAGCAGGACCCTTCAATCTAATCTGCCCTTGACATTCAGTCTGTGTGCACCTCTTTGTGGCCCTGCCATCAGAAGAATCGAATGTGGCAGTGAGACAGCGGTACAGCGGTACACTGGATAACTGTCGTCAGAGTGCTGAGCATGGAGGGGAAGTGTGAAGGCTTGCTAATGAAGAAAAGTCGCCAGACTGGAATACAGCAAGCTGAGAGGGCCTGGGAAGGAGCTGTGAGGATGTTCAAGCCTTACTCCTACTAATGGAAAAAATAATCAGGGAAAACACAAGTGTTTAAATGAGGTATGTCGATATGGTGGTTTCGCATTCACTATGCACCAAGCTACTACACTGTGCTATTACTACTATGCTATTCATAGTATTAACAGCAAAATATATAGAAACGTGTTTATGCATCTGCTTGAAACATGCATTTGAAATGCTACCGATCACATATTGCAAACCTGGGAACAGTTGGGGCCAAATGAACTGTTTAGGCCACTGATACACATTGTTCAGGTCAAAGCACTGTCACCTACAATGGAGACACCAGTAGGAACGGTTTTCACAGCTCAGATCACAGCTCCTGCAACTGGCAAGAGATTGTGCTGGGCATGTGCAATCAAGTCGCACAGGAAGGATGAATTGCCTCGACCCGTCCGATTGAACTTGATCCAAGTGTGAACTATTAAGAGGAAAATGAAGAACAAGTTAATAAAATCCATTTCATGAGATTATAAAAAGCAGTTTGGCTCTTGTCCCTCTTCGGTTGTCTAGTTAGTTGTTTAATAAGAAATCCCAAAAATAACCATTTGATCTGAAGAAGCCTCTTGTTCTGTTGAGTTGGGCCCCTGAGAGTGAGGTCATAGAAGGCTCAGACTGCGGTACCCAGAATGACAAACTGGGCACCATGCTTCATGTTCGAAGCTTCTCACTCAGATCTGCTGGGTAGTGCCAGGGTATGGTTGGCATTCACAGTGGGACTGCTGCAGGGGGTGTGGATGGCTCCGATACAGTTAGAATAACTTAAATATCTGTGTCCTGAATTAGAAACTCCACATAATAGAAGGGCACCAGAGAGGCTATAAAGGGCAGCCTGACATCGGCTGTTAACACGCGGGCTGCCAAGCTGTGTGAGCCCCAGACCCCCACCCTGCAGAGCTCAATCGTATTGTGTTCCCGCAGTGTCGGCACCCCCATCCTGACGGAGCCCCGAGAGCAGCACACGCTGTGCACCACGTGTTGTCTGGGACTTCTGGGAATGTCGCGTCGAGCACCACAGCGCAGCAACCCCACTGTGCCTTTCACCAGCAGTCAGAGAAAGCTCACTGTAGACCTCATGTGTTGCAGATATGGGCTATTTTTTTCTCAGTGCAACTGCGAGAAATGTTAAAGGGAGATAAAATAATAAAAGGTCCATGCATTTATATGCCAGTCACTCTCTCCATCCCAATGGAATTCCAAGATGTTTCACAAACTCACTGTATCCCTGAAGTACTAGCCGATCTGGGTGACATGAACCAGCAGCCCCACTGCACAGCAGCGCAGGCAGAGAAAAGAGACAGTGCTTTTTGTTTTTACTCAACGGAAAGTTGCTTCTTTGTGTTAAAATCACACAAGAAAGCAAAGCACAGCAACTGTCATGGAATATTGCTAGAAACATGGGGTTCATAAGCGCAATTTGCAGAGCAGTGGATGAAAATTCTCATCATTGCGCAACAGATGCATAAATTGACGCCTGTCAGTGCGTTTTGCGGTTGTAACTAATTGAAACCCATCAAATACAATTCCTGTTGTATAAAAAAAAATAAAATGGAGGTGGTACTCCCACCATGGAAGGAAAGGGTATGATTTACCCTGTTTTTTGTGCAGAAAAAACAAAAATCTACCAAGTGACAGTAAAAACAGGGGTGGAATGTCCCTTGGTCAGATTTCCTTGGTCTGTGAAGATTTCCTTGGTCCTTGCGGTGGCTGGAGAATTCAAACAAGTTGGCATGTTACAAACCCTCGCAGT